TCTATAGAAAAAATTTCACAGGTCCTTTTTTCTATAGAAAAAAAAAATCACAGGTCCTTTTTTCTATAAAAAAAAAATCACAGGACATTTTTTCTTCTTTAGAAAAAATGGGCTCCTAAGGACCTGTGATTTTGTTTATAGAAAAAATAGGTCCCTGTTGTACTGGATTTGTTTCTATAGAAAATAAATGCCCTTTGAATTTTTTGTATAGAAGAAAAATAAAAGAACATTTTTTTATAGAATTCTATAGAAAAACTTTACAGGACATTTTTTTCTATAGAAAAACTTTACATGACATTTTTCTTCTATAGAAAAAATTCACAGCACATTTTTTTCTATAGAAAAAATTAACAGGACATGTTTTTCTATAGAAAAAAAACACAGGTCCTTTTTTTCTATAGAAAAAAATTCGGTCGGGGGTCCTTTTTTTCTATAGAAAAAATTTCACAGGTCCTTTTTTCTATAGAAAAAAAATCTCAGGACATTTTTTCTTCTTTAGAAATTTTGTTTATAGAAAAAATAGGTCCCTGTGTTACTGGATTTTTTCTATAGAAAATAAATGTCCTTTGAATTTTTTCTATAGAAGAAAAATCACAGGACATTTTTTTCTATAGAATTAAATTCAAAGGATTTTTTTTCTATAAAAAAAATCAAAGGGCTTTTTTCTATAGACAAAAAATCCAGTAAAACAGGAACCTTTTTTTTTTTTTTAACAAAAACACATGTCCTTAGAAGCCTATTTTTTCTAGAGAAGATATTCAAAAGACCTATTTTTTTATAGAAAAAATTACAGGGTCCTTTTTTCAGTAGAAAAAAATCAAAGGACAATTGGGTCCTATTTTTAACGTTCACAGGACAACTGTGTCCCATTTTCTTTCTATAGAAAACATTCACAGGACTGCAGTTCGTTTTTTACTGTCATATACGTCAAATGTCGCCCAAAGTGTCTAAAACGTAATATTTTCAAACACTACAAATTGTCGATCATGATGGGTTCAACGTTGGGCGCCACAATTTGAGTTGAGTTTTTATTAATACAAACACCACGATTGTAAGGATTCTTGACCTTATTACCTTGCCCAACATTCCCATGGACTACTATTTCCCATTGTCAAAATGTTTTTTTTCCTTTCTTATATTGCAATACGTTGGGCGCCACATTCAATTTGTAAAATACCCGTAAAATCGTACTCTTGATTTTTGAGATGAGTTTTAAAATTATTATTTTGATTAGTCATAAATAAAATGTCAAATGTTAAAATTCTAAACCAAGTTGGGCGCCATTTTTTTTTAATTTTGCTTAGAAAGAAAAATCTGACCACAGGTCACTCAAATTTTCCATAAAATACTATTTCTCATTATTTTGGTATCCATTTTGACTTGACATTAGTTTGAATCAAATATTGAAAAGTTTGCCCCAAATTGGGCGCCACTTATAATTATTGAATTCATAGCTTCGGAATAACATGGATTTGATGAGCGAGTACATATATAAAAATCTGCAGATTTAATAGTTAAAATTTAGTAAAGAAAGCTCTTATTTATATATATTTTTTGGTGGGTTAAAGGTTTGAGGGTGAAAGGATATTTTCTTTTCTTTCTGAACAAGGATATAGTATAGTAGAGTAGGTAAATATATATATGTATAGATATATATTTAAGTTTTAGTATATATAGTAGTAGAATATAAAATATGTATATATATGTGGGTAATATTAATAGTTAATTTTTGTTTTCTTTCAGGTTATTTCGGTTATTAGCTCGATTATGGACTTCAATTGAACAGCAAAATTAGTTTGACTCCCGTTTTAGAGCCATTGGTAAATTTTTCCTACATAATAGCCTATAGTTTTTTATTTTATTTTGTGATATAACAATAAGAAATTATTCACTGCCAGTCTCCAAACAAAATTGTAGGATTTTTTTTTTCAATTCTATGAATTCATCACTATTAGGTTTTTTTTCTATCCCTCTCTAATTTTTTTTTATCACTTTTTTTGTTGTAGTTAACATTGTAATTTTGGTCTATGTTTTAGGATTTATGCAACAAAATGCTTGAAACAACTTGTCATCAGAGCCGCTAATTTTTTTGGTGTCGGATATTGTAAAAAAAAATCAAAAAAGTGGCGCCCAACATATCAACTTTTTTAAATTAAAAAAATACACAGGAGGACCATATGGACCAATTTTTTCGATAGAAAAAATCTCAGAACAAAAAGAAACTTATTTTTTCTATAGAAAAAAAATCACACCACCATTTTTTCTTATAGAAAACTATTCACATACCCAAAGGGTGTTATTTTTTCCTATAGAAAAAAAACTCACATGACCTATTTTTACTATAGAAAAAATTACAGGACCACAAGATCCTATTTCTTTTCATGGAAAAAAATTCACAAGGTCCTATTTCTTTCCATGGAAAAAAATTCACAAGGTCCTATTTTTCCTGAAGATCACAAGGACCTTTTTCCTATAAAAAATCACAGTATCTAGTTTCTTTTTCTATAAAAAAATTACAGGACCTATTTTTTCTATAGGAAAAAATGCAGCACCACATGTAAAGAAAAATTTACAAGACCTCAGAGATCGATTTTTTTATAAACAAACTTACAGGAAATTAGGAGCCTATTTTTTCTACAGAAGAAATTCACAGGAACCTATTTGTAGAAAAAAACTGACAGGGTCCTTTTTTTCTATAGAAAAAAATTCGGAGACCTCAGGTCGGTCGGAGGTCCATTTTTTCTATAGAAAAAAATCACAGAACATTTTTTCTATAGAAAAAAATTCAAAGGACATTTTTTTCTATAGAAAAAATTCACAGGACATTTTTTCTATAGACAAAATTCACAGGACATTTTTTCTATAGAAAAACTTCACAGGTCATTTTTTTCTATAAAAAAAAATCACAGGACATTTTTTCTATAGAAAAAATTAACAGGACATTTTTTCTATAGAAAAAATTAACAGGACATGTTTTTCTATAGAACAAATTATTATAATTTTAAATCATAGAACATTTTTTCTATAAAAAATCACAGGTCCTTTTTTCTATAGAAAAAATTTCACAGGACCTTTTTTCTATAGAAAAAATCACAGGACATTTTTTCTTCTTTAGAAAAATGGGCTCCTAAAGAAAAAAAATCTTCTGTGATTTTTTTTCTATAGAAAAAAGGTCTTGAGAAATTTTTTCTATAGAAAAAAAGGACCTGCGAATTTTTTTCTATAGAACAAATTAGCAGGCCATGTTTTTCTATAGAAAAAATTATTAAATCATTAAATCATAGAACATTTTTTCTATAGAAAAAAATTCACAGAAAAAAATTCGCACTTCCTTTTTTCTATAGAAAAAAATTCCACAGGTCCTTTTTTTATAGAAAAAAATCACAGGACATTTTTTCTTCTTTAGAAAAAATGGGCTCCTAAGGACCTGTGATTTTGTTTGTAGAAAAAAGGTCCCTGTTGTACTGGATTTGTTTCCATAGAAAATAAATCTCCTTTGAATGTTTTCTATAGAAGAAAAATCACAGGACATTTTTTTCTATAGAATTTAATTCAAAGGAAATTTTTTTCTATAGAAAAAAGATTTAAAAGACTTTTTTCTATAGACAAAAAATTTAGTAAAACAGGGACCTAGGAGCCTATTTTTTTCTAGAGAAGATATTCAAAAGACCTATTTTTTCTATAGAAAAAAATTACAGGGTCCTTTTTCAGTGGAAAAAAACAAAGGACAACTGGCCCCATTTTTAACGTTCACAGGATAACTGGGTCCCATTTTCTTTATATAGAAAACATTCACGGGAACGTATTTTACTGTCATATACGTCAAATGGCGCCCAAACTGGCTAAAACGTAATATTTTCAAACACTACAAATTGTCGATCATGATGGGTCCAACGTTGGGCGCCACAATTGCCTTGTCCAACATTCCCATGGACCACTATTTCTCATTGTCAAAATGTTTTTTTTCCTTTCTTATATTGCAATACGTTGGGCGCCACATTCAATTTGTAAGATACACGTAAAATTGTACTCTGGATTTTTTAGATGAGTTTTAAAATTATTATTTTGATTAGTCATAAATAAAATGTCAAATGTTAAAATTGTAAACCAAGTTGGGCGCCATTTTTTAATTAAGCTTAGAAAGAAAAATATGGCCACAGGTCAATCCAATTTTCCATAAAATACTATTTCTCATAATTCCATTTTGACTTGACATTAGTTTGAATCAAATATTGAAAAGTTTGCCCCAAATTGGGCGCCACTTTTAATTATTGAATTCATAGCTTCGGAATAAGATGGACTTGATGAGCGAGTACATATATGAAAATTTGCAGATTTAATATTTAAACTTTTAGTAAAGAAAGTTCTTAATATTTTTGGGAAATATATTCCTCATTCGTTATGCAAAATTTGGATAATGGGGTAAATATTAATTTTACAATACATTCAGTTCTTTGCCTAATTAATAATCTCATACAATGTGGTGATATTATAACTAGGGTTGACAATTTGTAAGTAATCCTCAAATTACAGCAGTAAAATATATATTGACGGCTCTGAGATAAATTTGTTATTTGCATAGTGTGAATATTTTTTTATATAAAAGTTCTAATATTTCTGTTTTTTTATTACTATAAAATATTAGTTTTTTTATCTTTTTTGTAAATTATTGTTTTGGTATTTTATGTACTGTTTTGTTAATGTAAATATTGGTTATATGTATATGTGTGTGTGATTATATGATTGTTTTAGTATTTAGTAGGTATGTTGTAGGTGTATAATAATATATAAGTATTGGTTTTTTAGTGTATTTGGGTTTTTTTTATTATTTAACAAAAGATATATAAACGTTTTGTAATCATTTTAAGATTTTTGTTTTTGTTATATATAGATTAGTTAACAATTATTATTATTTATATAAAAAATTAATTTTCCATTTTTATAGTTTTTTTTATCATATATGTATGTATAGATGTATATCCATTTTTGCAATATGTTTTTATGTTCATAATGTTTTTTGTTGCATTTGTTATTTTTTTTTGTTATGAGATCATGTCCTGTAGCGCATAATTTCGCGTAAAGCATAAAGCAGCTCGGCTTGGTTGCGAGCTTCCATTACCATTAAATTGACGTGGACCTGAAAAATAGGGAAGAATGATTTTTAGAATTAGAATTTTTTGAAATAAAATATAGCAAAGTAATAAGAATATACTATAAAACCCAGTGGTCAATTTAAAGTTCACTATCGAGATTTCGTAGCTACCCTTAATCGACTCAGAATTTGAAAATCATTTAATTATATCATTACTAAAGACGGTGTACATTTTTTCAATTACATACAAAGTGTATGCAATTTAAAATCAGGTTTTTAAAAACCAAACATCAATGAAGAATGTGGAATATAAAATAAAAGAGGTAAGAAATGTTGCTCAAAGTCGAAAAAAGTCGAAAGTCGAAAAATGTTCCAATTAAAAAATATATATTCGATCCATGTTGCAATTTGTATTTTAAAATCCTCGGAATGGTATGTATTTATTGTTTTGATAAGTCTCATCAAATCAAAATTCCAATTTTATAAGATTTCAAAAATTTTTCAAACGTTGGGCGCCACATTTTGTATGTCCAAAGTCGGTGGGATTCATTCACTTAATTATCAGCACGTTATAAACTACGGTTCAGGCCAATTTCTCCCTCTAATATTCCTTTTTTGTCACCAATTTTTTCAAACTTTTTTATTAACCTCACGTTGGGCGCCACTTCAAATTTTATTGAATTAATGACAAAATTCACCACTCATGTTTGGAAGAAAGGGCTTAACATTATTTTGATTAAACAAAACATAAAAAGTGACCTCAAGTTAATGTTTTTAAAATTGCACCTACATTTTAATTTTATTTTACGTTGGGCGCCACATTTTATATACCCAAAGACGGGCGGATTTATTCACTTAATTATCACTACGTCATTAACTACAGTTCAGGCCAATTTCCCATTTTGCTATTCCTTTTTTATTACCATTTTTTCTTAATTTTTTTATTTACCTCACGTTGGGCGCCACTTTACATTTTATTGAATTAATGACAATTTTCACCACTAATGTTTGGAAGTAAGGGCTTAACATTATTTAGATTAAACCAAACATAAACAAGAGGCCTCAAGTTAATACTTGTAAAATTTCACCTACATTTTAATTATATCTTACGTTGGGCGCCACATTTTGGAAGTCCAAAGTCCGGAGGATTTATTGACTTAATTATCAGCATGTCAATAACTAAGGCTCTGACCACTTTCTCATTATACTATTCCTTTTTTGTTACCAATTTTTGCCCAATTTTTTATTTACCTCACGTTGGGCGCCACTTTTAATTTTATTGAATTAATGACAAATTTTACCACTTATATTTAAAAATAAAGGCTTAACATTATTTATATTAAACGAAACATAACAAGTGGCCTCATGTTAATGTTTGTAAAATTTCACCTACGTTTTGGTTTTATCTAACGTTGGGCGCCACATTTCATATCTTCAAAAAGGAAGGATTCTTTTAAATAATCATCGGAACGTTATTAAACGCAAATCTGTTTATGTCTCATTTTCAATCTCCTTGACCTCCTGTTTATTGTTATCTTTAATTTGTCTGAAAAAAGTGGAATCAGTCTAATGTCATAAAATTTGCCCTACGTTGGGCGCCACTTTTAATTATTATTGAAAATTTTTGTTTTAATCTTTTAACAGACTTATTTCAATATGTCACTACAGAATAATTTCAACAATTTCTTACACATTGGGCGCCATTTTTTATTTTTTCAAACAATATCAAAAAAAAAAAATGGCACCCAACGTGAGGCGAAGATTAAAACATTAGTTTTCACAACCAACATAAATTAGACTTTTAATGTATTCTATATAATTGAAAGTGGCGCCCAACATGAGCTCATTTTTTCACAAATAGACCTTAGTATGCTAAAAGTAATGCAAAATTAAAAAATATCACAAAGAATATCGATTAGTATTCAAAGGGTAATTTTTTAAAACAACTAAATAGAAAGGCAATAATGGCGCCCAACGTGAGGCAAAGTTTAAAACATTGATTTTCTGATGTAAAAAAATCGGATAATAAAAAAGAAAAATGATTCCTATGGCCCTACCTATAATTTTTCGTAAAATATCGATCCATTCTTCTATTCTCTTCACCAGGGATCTAACCTCTTTTCCTTGGTTCAATAGATATTTATACCCTACACAACTATGTTGTCAGGGTATTATAGCTTTGTGCAGCCCCAAATGTTTGTAACGCCGCGAAATATTGGTCCTAGACCCACCTTTAAGTATACCGATCGTCATATCTCGACTAGCTGAGTCGATCTAGACATGTGTGTCCGTCCGTCCGTCCGTCTGTCCATTATAATTTGTAAACACGATACAGGCCACAGTTATGGACCAATCTTCACGAAATTTTGCATGTAGGATGGGTTCTGGCCAATGAAGACCCCTATTGTTTTTTGGAAAAGATCGGTTAATATTTAGGGGATGAAATGGACCAAATACTAAATTTTTGTCGGTTTTTCTGGTCGCTCCAGAGGCCGCAATTATGGCCCAAACACCGCGAATTTTTGCATGGAGAAGGGGATCGGGCCAGAGAATAAGCATGCATGTTTTGATAAAGATCGGTCAATATTTAGCGGGTCAAATGGACCCTGACTTTTGTGTGAAAAATGACAAAATTTGTATTCTATGGCATATATATTTACTCCTGGAGGATGTAGACCCCAGGAGTTGATAGCATATCCAAGAGGAGTGGTTGGCCTTTAAATTGATACCAAATATAGTGATGCATCTACTCAGATGTGGGAGTTACAGTCAAATATTTACAGGTGCTTACGTATTCAGATATTATTTAGTAACCCATTACCACATTAGAGGGAGAAATATCGCGCTGATGGCTTTGAAATTGTTCATGAGGTTCCAGTTATGGTCAAGAACAACGCCTATAATTTTCGGTGATGATCAGATTAAAATTTTGGGATGAAATGGACGGAGAATATAATTTTTTGTGTGTTTTCGAGTAGAGTATAATCCAAAAATCACAACACAACCCACCGTGAAGGTAATCTGGACAAGTAATTAGAAGGACTGTACTGAATATTCGAAAATAGTAAGGAAGAGGTGTTGTTAACCTCTAATCGGACAAGAGGGGCAAATATCACGAAATATTACTCAGACTCGGAATAAACATCCTCAGAAAGTTAGAGTTCGTGGTAGTTGTGTAGGGTATCGTATGGTCGGCCCCGTCCGACTATACTGCTCCGCTCACTGGTTTTTTATTTATTTTAGTATCCTACCTTTTCACTGTCCTGCAGTTCAACCAAAATGCTATCATAATCCTTTGTTGTAATTCTTTCGGGGAAACAGCATGCGGTCTTGATGAACATTTTCAGAGGCCGATCCAAAAGCTGAAATAAAAAAATTAACATTTTTAACAAATTGCAAAAAATGTAAGGAATTTTTCCTCCCCTCACCTGATTAACTTCGCCATAATCATAATCATCATGACGTATACCATAAATACACTGTATATAATTCCAAATGGCACGACGAAATTTCGATGTATCGACATTTTTCACACCACCCATTGTGAAATAGGTTAAATTGTAGGCACAACGGAAACGTTGATCCAGCAGGGTACCGACGTCTTCATAAAGACTGGAAGAGAGATAGAAATAAATTATTATTCATAATTGCTAATTCGAAAGTGTGTCGTCACTTACTCATTAACCAGCGAATAGCCATGATCATCCCACGAATAATCCTGTATGCGAAAGGTGTTGGGTATATTTTCAGCACCACGGCGAGCAAAGTCTTGATATTGGAAATTTGGATCTTCAATATAGTGTGAGATCACCGGTGGTATTTCAGCGGGGGACGCCGTTGCAGCTGCTGGCAATTCTGCGGTTTGCATTTCAACATTCTTAAAACGATTACTCAGTTCGGCTTCACTGCATTCGTCCTGCTTTTGGGATAGCACTTTCATGCGTTCCATTAACACTTCGACTGTGGCACTGGGTTGAGCTAAAATGGAAGAGGGAGGAAATTTTAATTTTTGAAACTAATTAATGAATTATTTTTAATCAAGGAATAAATTCAATGACCACCTGTCCACCGGAGTGGATCTTAAGGCGGATTTCATATATAGAAGTTGGGTATTTGAATGGTTTTCTAATCGGAGAAGATATCTAAAATATTTACCAACGACCATGTCTTCTGTCTGACAATATTCCCGTTAAGATTTCTCTTTTTCCCTACAAAATATCCCTTTTACTACCTACACAAGATCCCTTGAAGATTAGATTATGGGAAGAATTCGCCACTAATTATCAAAAATTTTAAAATATTTGGCGTTGGCCGCCAATATATATATATATATATATATATATATGAAGAAAACCAACGCTGGTGTCTGGAGGTGTATTAAGATGTTTAAAATTAGCATTTTATTAATAAATTATATTCAAATCAAAGTTGGGCGCCATTTTCGAGTTTTTTGAAACTAAAATTCGCATTTGAAAACAAGATTTTAGTATGGAGCTAGTATGTTAACCGAAATTTTCCACAAGGTGTTCTATCTACAGATAACCTATTAAAAACTCTTATGTTAATCTGAACAACCTTTCAAAATTGATAGTGGCGCCCAACGTGAGATCACATGCAAAAAAAAAAAAAAAAATGAAAAGGCAAAAGATATTAGAAAGAATGGCGATTAGTATTCAATAGATCATTTTTTAAACCAACTAGCCAAAAAAACAATAATGGCGCCCAACGTGAGGCGAAGTTTAAAACATTAATTTTCTGACACATTGAAATGTTAGGAACTTTCTCAACCATCAGAAATTAGATTTTTTATGTATTCTATATAATTGAAAGTGTGGCGCAATGTGAGTTAATTTTTTTAGCAAATGGACTTTAGTATGCTAAAAAAATGTTAAAGCAAAAGATAATGGCGCCCAACGTGAGGCGAAGTTCAAAACATTGGTTTTCTGACAAATTAAAATATTAGGACCTTTCACAACCATCAGTAGTTAGATTTTCCATGTATGCTATAATTGAAAGTGGCGCCCAATATGAATTCATTGTTTTTTTACAAATATACCTTAGTATGCTAAAAATAATTCAAAAGCAAAAGATATCACAAAGAATGACGTCTAGCATTCAAAGGGTCATTTTTATAAAAAAAACTACACAAAAAATAATAATGGCGCCCAACGTGAGGCGAAGTTTAAAACATTGGTTTTCTGACAAATTAAAATATTAGGACTTTTCTCAATCATCAGATATTAGATTTTTAATGTATTCTATATAATTGAAAGTGGCGCCCAATGGGAGTTAATTTTTTTTTTTTTTAACTTGGACGCTAAAAATAATACTAAAGCAAAATATATTACAAAGAATGACGATTTGTATTCAAAGTGGCACCCAAGGGTAATTTTTTAAAACAACTACACAAAAAAAGCAATAATGGCGCCCAACGAGAGGTGAAGATTAAAACATTGGTTTTCTTACAAATTAAAATCTTGGGACCTTTCACAGCCATCAGAAATTAGATTTTCCATATATGCTATAATTGAAAGTGACGCCCAACGTGAGGTAATATTTTTTAACAACTACACAAAAAATAATAATGGCGCCCAATGTGAGTGCGAAGTTCAAAACATTGGTTTTTTCTGACAAATTAAAATATTAGGACCTTTCACAACCAACTGAAATTAAATTTTCCATGTATTCTATAATTGAAAGTGGCGCCCAACGTGAGGTAAATATTCTACTTCTAGAAGTTGTAATACATCTAAAAGGCCCTCAAAAAGCAATTTAGAAGCCTAAAAGGCCATTTAATTTTCAAAAGATTTGGTAGGAATTTTAAAGCCCTATACTAGGTTTTTCAACTTCAGAACACCTCTAGAAAGAATTTTTATTACTCAGCGACCTCATAAAGGTATTTTTGTTTCAATTTCTTTTCTCCTTGGAAGGTCTTTAGAAAGTCTATAAAATCTAATAAAAAAAATTGCACCCGGAAATCTTTTAAAATCAAAAAAAAAAAAAAAAAAATTTGCAAATTTTTTAAACCAACTTCTAGAAGACCTCTCATTTCTTTTCTCTGTGAAGAAGAATGTAGAAGAAATTATATGAAGACCTTTCAAAGATATTTAAAATCAAATAATTTTTTTTGAAGACTCTACAAAGATTTCTATTTCTTCACGACCTTATCGAGGATTTTTTCTATGCTTGGAAGGCCACTAGAAGGTCTATGATATCTAAGAAGAAAACTTCCAAAAGTTGTTTAAAATCTGATAACAATAAATTCAGACACTTCGAGGGTCTTTAAAATCCAATCAAAAAAATGTACAACATTTTAAATATCATTTCCAAATTTCGTGTGGAAATTCCGTCAATAAATTATCACACGTGCCCTACGCGGGAGTCTCATAAAATATCGGTCGTTTACACAAATGTTTACAAAATGTTTGGAAGTGTCAGGGAAAAAAATGACACGTGGAACATTAACACCACTCACCATTAATTTTGTTAAGAACCGTTGCTGTGGCATTTGCCGATGAGGCAAAAGCTGCTGCAGTGGCAGCAGTCGCAGAAGCACCAACCACACTAACACCTGTAGTAGCAGCAGCACCACCACCACTGGCATTGTTGTTGCAATACAGCTGCTGATGATGATCGATGCTGTTGTTGTTGGCATTGTTGTTGTGGTTGTTGGTGTTGTTGTTCAGTGTGATTTCACTTAAAACAGTCTTTTGCGGTTGATATTGTGGTAGAGCAGCAGCCCCAGCGGATGAATGCATCACAGAATTGACCGCAGCCCCGATACCGGCACCGACAGCACCATTGCCTATCGCAGCCGGCAGCGAATTGTTGTGCAGACTGGCAGTGGGTGGCGATTTCAGTTTAGGACTAGATAAACCATCCAGTTTTTGTGTCAGACCGCAGGAGAACACAAACGACGACAACGAATGGAAATGCGATAACAGCACCATGGCATGGACAACTTCCGACAGAGACCAACTGTTTTTGCCGCGAGTTAAACTCTAAAAATAGATGATGATGATAACAGATTTTTATTATTAAAAAATAAAAAATCGATATAAATGGACTTTGTTGTAATGTGACCGGTAGAGGAGATTTCAATTTTTTTCAATAAAAATATATATCTTCAAAAATATACCCACCTCTATATGCTCCTTGCGCAGCAGCCACGGCCGATGGGCCAGTATCTTATTTATGTCATATATGGCACGTAACTTCGGCGGTATAAAATCCAAACCGTTTAACCATTCCGGATTGCCACCCTGATTGATGAATTCTTTTTCGTACATTTTCACCAGATAGGGACATTGATGACGAGCGGCGGCCTGCAAGAAAAGAAGAACCAGACAAACAACATAATTAGTCAATAATTACATCAACAGTTCGCAAAAAAAAAAAAAAAAAAAAATTATGACAATAGAATAATTAAATTGTTGTTGTTGTAGTTTTTTGATAATAATAATAAAAAAATCCGACAACATTTATTGTCGGCAATAAATGTCATCTCATTTGCCAAATGGAACCTTCAAAGCAGATGCACAATCTGTTCGGCTCATCATAGGCATAATGCCATAGCCATAGTTAGAGGAGCCTGCCTATCATCATTACCCCGCCACCAATGAGGAATGCAAATGACCTAAAGATAATGAGCAAGTGAGCGTAACGAACACGCACCGAACAGCATTGTAAGCATTAGCAGCAGCACCAATGGATGCCAAGTAGTTTTTCCTTCTAGTATGTGTGGTTGATATTTTAAAATATTTATTTTTTCAGGGATGGGAAGACTCATATAAACAATTGTACGTATAATATATTTTTTTTGCTATGCAATAACATCGGCTTACCTAACGTTATAGAATTTTAGGCCGGTCAAGAATATACATATTTTATGGGGAGAAACAACATGCGAATGCGTCAAAAATATGTTTTAATGAAAATTTTTAGAACCTCTAGTCTGGAGTTTTTTCCCCATAGAAAACACATTTCAAGATGACTGCCATTTTTCTATTTAAAAAATCATAGATCCCCTGGACTGGTTTTTTTCTATAAATCACATTTTGAAGATCCTCAGAATAAAGTCCTGAGGGTCTTCTAAATGTATCTACAAGAAATAAAAATAAACTACTGTCACAACAGTATTTTCTTTTTTCTAATGTCAGGTCCTAGTATCTGCATAAAAAATGTACAATCCTATGCCTATGTTCTATAAAAGATAATTTGTATACCATCAAGAATAAAATTAGCATGTCTTTTTGAATTCCACTTCCTTCCTATGGAGCGTATGACTAATTTTAATCCATGTGCCATGAGTAACGTATACGTATTGTCAACACGTATACGTCATTGGTACTAATTAACATGAAAAGAGACCAGCAATATAATTATATGTATATCATATAATTTTTGTAAAAGAGTAATCCAAAAAAAAATCAAATTATGCCCCAGATAGTCCTTAAAAAATATTATTAAACCAATAAGGAAAGTAGTAAAGTGGGACGAAATTTAGCACACATAATTCTGGACGTAATTCAGTACCCTATCCCAAATTTCATGCAAATCGAAGGATATATAGGGACTTTGGTGCCCCGTTTACCTTAAATCGGACGAAAGTATATATGGAAGCTATTTCTAAGCTATATCTTAATCTGAACCGATTTCAGGAAACTTAACACAAATCATTGTAGACCTAATTCATTACGCTGTACCAAATTTCGTGAAAACCGAAAGATATTAGGGGACTTTGGTACACCATTCACCTTAAATCGCATATAAATATATATGGGAGCCATATATAAATCTGAACCGATTTTCAGGAAACTTAACACATTTCATTTTAGACATAATTCATTACGCTGTGCCAAATTTCATGCAAATCGAAGGATATATAGGAACTGTGGTGCCCCATTTACCTTAAATCGGACGAAAATATATATGGGAGCTATTTCTAAATCCGGTCCGATTTTCTCAAAACTTGACACGCGTCATTCTAGACTCAATTCAGTACCCTATGCCAAATTTCGTGCAACTCGAACGATATATAGGGACTTTGGTGCCCCATTTACCTTAAATCAGAAGAAAATATATATGGGAGCTATATCTAAATCTGAAGGGATCTTCATGAAACTTAGTACTCATCATTCTAGACCCAATTCAGTACGATGTGCCAAATTTCGTGCAAATCGAAAGATATATAGGGACTTTGGTGCCTCATTTACCTTAAATCGGACGAAAATATATATGGGAGCTATATCTATATTTGAACCGATTTAGCACACATTATTCTGGACGTAATTCAGTACCCTATGCCAAATTTCATGCAAATCGAAGGATATATAGGGACTTTTGGTGCTCCGTTTACCTTAAATCGGACGAAAATATATATGGGAGCTATATCTAAATCTGAACCGTATTTCAAGAAATTTTACACACATCATTCTAGACCCTATTTAGACCCAAATTTAGCACACATAATTCTGGACGTAATTCAGTACCCTATGCCAAATTTCATGGAAATCGAAGGATATAGAGGGACTTTGGTACCCCATTTACCTTAAATCGGACGAAAATATATATGGGAGCTATATCTATATCTGAACCGATTTTCAGGAAATTTAACTAACTTCATTCTAAACCTAATTCATTACGCTGTGCCAAATTTCGTGCAAATCGAAAGATATATAGGGACTTTGATGCCCCATTTCCCTTAAATCGGACGAAAATTTATATGGGAGCTATATCTAAATCTGAGCCGATTTTCACTAAATTTAGCACACATCATTCTAGACCTAATTCATTACGCTGTGCCAAATTTCGTGCAAATCGAAGGATATATAGGGACTTTGGTGCCTCATTTACCTTAAATCGGACGAAAATATATATGGGAGCTATATCTAAATCTGAACCGATTTTCAAATTTTTACACACATCATTATAGACCCAATTTAGTACGCTGTGCCAAATTTCGCGCAAATCGAAAGATGTATAGGGACTTTGGTATGCCATTTACATTAAATCGGGCGAACATATATATGGGAGCTATACCTAAATCTGAACCAATTTTTCCGACTTATTTGCCGTCATTGGGACAAATAAGTGACCTATGCCAAATTTCATCCAAATCGGATCATAAATGCGACCTGTACTTTGTTCACAAAAATACATGGACGGACAGACGGACATGCGTAAATCGACTCAGAAAGTGATTTTTTTGCATATTCTCAAAAGGAACAATGTGTCTATCTCGTTTCCTTTTGCATGTTACAAAGATATGCACAAAGACATAACACCCTGTTCCACAGTGTGGTGAAGGGTATAAAAACACAGATTCCTTACACATCCTATAAATCACACTTTGAAGAACTTCAGAATACAGTCCTGAGGGTCTTCTAAATGTATCTAAAAAAATCACTACTCTAACAGCTGTATTTTATGTTTTTCGTGTCAGAATAAAATTAGCATGTCATCGTAGCTACATCTCTGATCCCATGGAGCGTATCACTAATTTTCATACAAGTACCATGAGCAACGCATACGTATTGTCAACACGTATACGTCATTGGAACTTATATATATAAATTAATCAAAAAAAAAAATCGCGTCTTATGTAGTTGTTCGAAAAAATATTTAAGAAAAATCCAAATTTAAAAACCAGTGAGCGGAGCAGTATAGTCGGGCGGGGCCGACCATATGATACCCTACACAACTTTTACGAAAATCTAACTTTCTGTGGCTCTATATTCTGAGTTTGGGCAATATTTCGCGATATTTGTACCCTCTTGACCGAATAGAGGTCAACAAATATTACTAATATTCAGTACAGGTTCCCTCCACGGTGGTTTGTGTTGTGATGATCGGCTTTCAATTGTGGCCTATAGATCGACATGAAAAAAAAAACAAAAAATTAGGTTTTCGGTCCACTTTATCCCAAAATTATTATCTGATCATCACCGGACATTAAAGGCGTTTTCCTTGACGATATCTGGATACTTAAATTTTAAAGCGATCAGCGCTATATTTCCGCCCTCCAGTGTGGTAAATAATATATGAATACGTAGACACCTACAAATATTTATGTGTAACTCCCACATTCGAGCACATACGACAATATAATTGGTATGAATTGAATCACTCCTCTTGAACATACTATCAACTTCTCAGGTTTAGGTCCTTCAGGGGCATATATACGCCATAGAACACAAATTTTGTAATTTTTCACACAAATGTCAGGGTCCATTTGACCCGCTAAATATTGACCAATCCGTATCAAAACAGGCATGTTTATTCTTTGTCCCGACTCCCTTCTCCATAACAATTGGCGATGTTTGCGGCCTCTGTAGCGACCATCCCCTAAATAACCGATCTTTACCCAAAACAATAGGGGTCCTCATTGACCAGAACCCATCCTACAAGCAAAATTTCGTGAAGATTGGTCCATAACTGTGGCCTGTATCGTGTTTACAAATTATAATGGACAGACGGACGGACACATATGTATACATCGATTCAGCTAGTCGAGATATGACGATCGATATACTTGAAGGTGGGTCTAGGACCATTATTTCGCGGCGTTACAACCTCTTGGGACTGCACAAAGCTGCAATATCCTGACAACATAGTTGTGTAGGGTATAAAAATATATTCTATCCTCCCGTCATTTAAATTTAATTTGAGGGTGATGATAAATAAATTAAAAAAGAATATTTGACTCATTTACGCAATTAAATAATGCGTAAATTGCGTTGTAATTTATGATGCTCTATGAATGTTTGTATGTGTGTATATGTGAGTGTGTCATGCAGACCAGTCATTGTGTTATATGCTGCTCATTATCATATTGTCTCATACCGTTGGTATTTTAAATGAGAAACAATGCAAATAATTTCGATGGACACTCTATAGTAAGATAAATTATTAAATTGTCATTATGAGACACCTGCAGGGTGGATTAGGATTATATACAAAAAACCAGATCTCTGGAAGGTAACAATAAATTTAAAGACTTCTAAGGAAGATTTTCCAACCTTTTTACTTTTGTTATAATACTAATCCCAAGGTGGCGTATTAGTTATTTTATTTTCAATTTCATTTATTTATAAACCATACGCCACCCATTACAAATTCGACGAGAGTAATATTTCAACAAAGTCATTCGAAATAAAAAAATTTTATGAACAATAATAATTTGATTTATGTTCTACCCAATTTGAATTTTAGGTTAATTTGATACTCAACGCATTTGAGTAATAAAAACAAAAAACTGCAGACCTCAAACAAGCTGTAAAAAATTGTGCATTTCTGAAACAAAAACAAAAACATATTTTTTCAT